ACCCTGAACCAAGAGTCTGTGTAGTCGCCAATCTTCGCCGGCAGATGCATCTGCACGTCCTGCCGAGTAAGATAGGAGGGGCCTGAATGGTTTTTTCGCCGAACTAGTTCCTCCGACGGCTTTTCTTAGCGCTGTTGCAAGAGGTGTGTAGGGCAAAAAGATTATGGGATTTTATGCGGGGGGTAGGAGCCTCAATGCCAACGCCCTCAACCCCGGAACCCTAAACCCAACCCAGCCTCTACCCCGCTAAGTTTGAGGCTTCTATCCGCAGTTGCTAGGGACTCTAGACTCTAAACCCTCAAACCAGAAAGCCCAAGACCCTAAACCCTCAAACCGGAAAGCCAAAGACCCTAAACCCTAAAACCCCAAGACCCTAAACCCTAAAATCACCACGGCTCGGTTTAGAGTTCAGGGTTTAGGGCTTAGGTCCTAAGACCCTACAACATAAAGCCCGAGCCTTACCAGCTCGACCTGAATTCTCGAAAGCCCCAATGTAATGTAGAAAGGGGCCTTCATAGATAGAACAGGGTTTAAGGTTTAGGGTTGAGGGTTCGTTGCCGGGTTTCCTCAAAGAGTTCTGTAATGTAGGGGCCTTGATGATGATGCTATACCGAAGGTACTGTAATCACATTAAGGACCGCAAGGGCTCCATTAAAGGGCGATTGCGGGTCCTGGTAAGCCCAGCCCAGAGAGCCCAATACCCGTTAATTAAGGAATATAGCTTAAATCATATAGGGCTTCATTTTATGATTTAAGCTATATTCCTCAATTAAGGGGTATTGGGCTCTCTGGGAGCGAAGTGTTAAAGGAAGCCCCAAGGGAGAGGAGACTCTCGAGCTGCAACAGTGGCTTGGGGTTGGGGGTTTGGTGTTTAGGGTTTATCAAAGGGGAAAAGGGGGGACCCTTAATGAGGACCCCTACCCAATAATGGGCTATATAATATAATGGGTATGTAATGGCTATATTGAGGGTATATACCTAGGGGTCCTTGTTAAGGGTCCCTCTTTTTACCCTTGGAGTTTAGGGTTTAGAGTTGAGGGCTTAGTGTTTACGAAGTATAGGCAGCACTAGGAAAACCGAAATCCAGAACGCTATCCGCTAACACCCATGGTAAGACCGTGTAGGAACCATATACCAAACCGCGTCAAGCCTTTTGAAAAACTTACAACACACCTGGATAGTCCTGCATAGAAACCATATAAGCAACGTACAACACACCAAGGAAACCCAATACTGCTCAACTACAGCCCTAAACCTTACTTGGAGGATCATGGGACTTTCTAAATATGGTTATAAGTACCTTAGTTAGGGGTCAGACGTGGTTATAAGTGTAGTTACCCTAATAACAACCTTAGTTACTAAGTCCCATGATCCTTTAAGTACTGAACCTTGAACCTCTATAAACCACAGCCGAGAAACTTCGCCTGAACCCGAAACCCTGAACCCCAAACCCTATGAGCCCTAGAACCCCTAAACGCTGAACCTAAACCCTAAACTTGAAACTCCTAAACCCCAAAGCCTTATAGAATCCTATAGATCGCTTAGAATCAGCCCTAAGCCCTGAGTCCAAACCCTAAACCCTAGACTCCTAAACCCTAAATCCCATACCCTTATAGAAGCCTATAGACTATAGATCCCAAAAAGGAACCCTAAACCCTGAACCCCAAACCACCCTAAACCCTAAACCGCAAATCCCAAACCTTATATGAGCCCTAAAAACCCTAAACCCCAAACCCCTAAACCCTGAACTCTAAGGAAATCCTCTACCTAAGCAAACTCTAAAGAATCCTAAAGGAAACCCAAGCCCCTATAAACCAAAGACCAAGAGGATATCCCTTAACAAGGAACCCTAAACCCTAAACTCTAGGAAAGCCTGAAGCCCCTTACAGACCCCTTGAAAGGAACCCCAAAGCCCCTATCCTAACCCGTATTCTAAACAAACCCCAAACCCGTATACCCTAAATCCTAAACCCCTACATCAAAGGAAACTCCAAAGCCCGTATACCCTAAATCCTAAACCCCTACATCAAAGGAAACTCCAAAGCCCAAGAGGATCCGATGCGCCTGGAGCGGCCGCAGCGCCGCTTCGCGAAGGGCCGTGGCATCCCGGAGAGCCGAGTCGCCTCTGAGCCATTCTTTTGGGGGGTTCTGTAGGGTTTAGGGGTTTAGGGTTTTTAGGGCTTTAGAGTTGAGGGGGTTTAGGGTTTAGGCGTTTAGGGTTTAGGGGTTTAAGGGCTTAGAGGTTTAGGGTTTAGGGTTTAGGGGTTCAGGGTTTAGGGGTTTAAGGTTTAGGGGCTTCAAGTTGAGGGCTTTAGGGGATTGGAGTTGAATGGTCTTTTGGGTTTAGGGGGTTGCTCGGGGTTTAGGGATTTGGGGGTTTGCAGGTTGGGGGTTTCTAGTTGAGGGGTTTTGAGGGTTTAGGGTTTAGAGGTTTAGGGGTTTAAAGTTGAAGGGTATTCATGGTTTACGGGGTTAGAGTTGGGGTTTGAGGGTTAAGAGTTCTGTAGGGATTTTGTGGATTTCACTGACTGCTCATGACATGTGCTTTATAGAACTCAATTCAAATTTTGTAGGGTTTCAAAGGTTACCAGGTGTTCATGACCTCTTGCTGTTTTGTCAGGGTTTTTCTCAGAGTGTTTTAGCGGAGCTGGGGTACAGAGGTTTGGAGGATAGGGTTAAGCGTTTCCGGCTTGGGCTTTAGGGGTGAATGCAGGCCCGAGGCTTTTAGGCCCTGTAGGGCCCTAGGGCGTTCAAGCCAATTGTAAGCTGCAAACCTTGGACACGAAACCCTCAACCGAAAGCATACCTCAAAGCCCAGCCGCCATCCGCCCCGGCGGCGAAAAGGTTGGAGAGACCTCGGATGATCGCCCTGTAGATTTCGAACAGAGCTTGGGGGTACAGTGTATTGTAGCTATCTAAACCCTGAGCCCTGAACGGCCCTAAACTCTAAACCTTCAGCCATAAGCCGTAGTAAATCTTGGTAATTATCTAGGCTCAGATTCCACATTACCTCCACGCTGGTCCAGTCCTATAACTCACAAACTCCCCTGGACAAAAATACAGCCCAATAAGACCCCCTGGGGCCCAAGCCCTTCACAGCGGATATTTCGTGTGCATTAGATAGTAATTGGGGGGCTCTCTGTACACTTATACCAACAGAAGAGGAGGCTGTGGGGCCTGCGTTTTGGCAACCCACTATTTTTAGTGATTTTGTGTGTTTCGAGTGGTTTTGTATGTTTCGAGTGATTGCACGTGAGGTTCTCTGAACTGTGTACTAGTTTTGTGCGTGTGTACGTGTATGTTGTTGCTTTGGATGGTTTATAACATCAAGTATGAGTTGTTGTGCAACACGAGGTCTGTTTATAAACACCTGGTTTGTTTATAAACATGTCGTGTCGTCACAATCATACAATCATGTGCCTCCTCTTCAGAAATAATATTGTATATGATATGTTTATAAACAGCTAGCCTGCCAGACATGTAGATATGTATGTGTTTATAAAGACCGGTCTGAGGGGAGGGGGGGGGGGGGGGGGGAGGGGGGAAGGTTCAGCGCATGTCCAACACTTATCACCCCCCCCCCCTCCCCTCTCCTCCAAAAACAAAAGCAACGCCGCCCTGCCCAGGTATGGCGCTGAGCTGAAGGGCGGCCATCGGCCGTCACTGCGTGGGTAAATAAATAGTTGATATGTGTGTATATATATATATTATAATAGCAATCACTTTGTTTACGAGCGTGTAGAGACAAGCACGTAGATCTTCTGTTGAATATAATAATGCACCTCGGCTGCAATTGGACTATCCTATACTACGACTACTCTTTTTTTTGTAATGCTCATGTTGCGGTTCTCATGATCATGATGACGTCAGCTTCACAAAACTGTTGATGCAGCATTCCGGATTAAAGTGTGTTTAGCTGCATTTCGCAGTTTAGCGGGTAGAGAAGCATGAAGCGGTCGTCGGCTGTGGCGGGTTTCGTTGAGTTCGAGAACGGTGTGTGTAAGCTCCAACTCACCAGCGTCAACCTCGCTACAACTGCTTCTTCCTCTTCCACGCCGTCGCCTTCACCGAACACTTCCGGAATGCCGTCGATCCAGAACATCATGTCGCAGATTGCTTCGCCGACGTCAAATGTACATGCATCGAAGCGAGCTCTCTCCAGTCGTCAGGTCCAATCTCACATCTGCTACATCCAACGGTCCCTCAACTTGACCACGGGCATGAAGGGCGAATGGGCCCCACAGGCCTTGGAGATGCTCAACAAGTGGTTGTCGTCACCGAAGAAGGGCACCGGCACCAAAGCAGCCCTGGCCATCTTGGACGGTGTTGTAAACGACAAGCCGGACACAGAGGAGGCAAAATCCAAGAACTCGCTCGCGGAGAACCCCAACTTGGAGATAGAGGTCAAAGAGGCAAAGGACGCCGAGGACTTGCTCACAGAGAACGCCGACTTGGAGGTAGCCAAAGACGCAAAGGATGAGGACCCCCACTTGGAACCAAAGGAGACAGAGAACACCCAGGACACGCAGGCAGAGAACGCGGTGGACACCAAGGAGCAGGATGCCGACTCAGACTCGGATTCCTCATACTCGAGTTCTTCATCTTCTTCTTGGACATTGCCTGCGGATTGGGGCACATGGCCCGCAGAATGGCATGACGTCTGGCAAGAGAGCCTTTTCCTCCTCGAAGAATCGGCAAAGGAGAGCCAGGAGAAAGCGGACATCGCCATGGGTCTGTTAAAGGCTGTGCACCGTGCCAAACTCCGATGGGACCAGGTCGAGTGAAGTGAGTGTAAGCATAGTCGACTCCTTGCAGTAGCGCCGGCGCCATTGCACAATTTGGGAAAAGCATCAAACTTGAAGTCAGTTGAATGAATCCCCAAACATGTTTATAAACACGGTCTTGTTTATAAACTCGTCCTGCCTTTCGCTTCCTCAAGCTTTTTATCATTGGTAGAGATACTGCCCTCAGTGCCCTCAGCAATCCTCGCTTTGCACACCATGGATCACGCAATCATCGCAGCGAAAATGACGTACATCAAATACCACTCCGCTATCGTCCACAACTTCAATGATTCAGGTGAGTTCTCCATCAAAGACCTTCCGCTCATTGATGCCCCCAATACCAAAGGCAAGAAGTTCAAGGAGTTCTTCCACATCGTAGAGGGGGTTTCTGCTGCAGATTGCGATATCATCCGCAATGTCTACAACTCGGACCCGCCCAAGGTTAACGAGCTACCTGACTCAGTGCGTCCTCGTGATGCCCTTGGAGACTCCTGCGTATTGCAAATGGCCCTATCCCCTGAGCAGGACGGCAAGTACACGGTACTCAAGTTCTTTCACTCCTCCGCTTTCATTCCTCTGGGACTTGCCAAAGCCTTCTGTGCACATAAGGTAAGGGTCATCAACTACCAGGTCGCGAACAACAACGATCACGTCAAGTGCGCTTTCCTCTACATGCTTAACCGCATCCAGGGAGAGCAATGGTTGACGCAATCATTGGTGAACAAGGTGTCTGCCAAAGCCATGAAGAAGGACGACTCGGGTGATGGGAAAAACTGGGAGCCCAGTGACAACGAGCTACGTGAGGGTATCGCCTTTATCAACCACTACGCGCCTCTGTCCAACACCAAGAACGAACAGTTCTTGTGGTGTCTACTCAATGTTCGCGACCGCGAGTCTCCCATCTATGGCTGGCCCCACCATGTTGTCAACAAAGCTTGCATCAATCGGTCCACGGGCAACTCACAAAGTGATCCAGAATATTTCTTTCCACTTCTACTACAGGACTTGGACCAAAGCTTTTTGGAGAAGGTCGTGCCGCTGGTGATGCCCACTATGACTGGGCATGGGCTTATCCTTTTGGGCCGTGCAGGTGTTGGAAAAACGCCCACTGCCATCATCCTCGCGATGGCCGTCGCCCGCCACCTCGTGGTAACTCGTGGTCTTGATGGCCACATTCCTGGATTTAGAAGATCGAAGCAGATCGACGGATTCCGGGAAAGGCCTGGCGAGTTGCATGTACCGGTTCTCCTCGATGACCCCTTGTTGCACTCCATGAACATGGAGGATATCAAATCCTTTCTCGATGTGGCCGAGAACACCCTGGTGGATGCCCGGTATAGGGCCGCCAAGTTTGTCCGCAACCAAGTCCGCATTCTCCTCAACAATGAATGGGGGGCGGAGAAGGAGCCACGAATGACCATGGGCGACAAGATTGATTGGCAGGCCTTCCATGATATGTTCAGTCCTACAGTCAATAATGCTTCGCTTCCCCACCTCATGGCCATTCTGAAGCGGGCTTCGGTGGTCATTGCCGGTGAATTGGCCATTTATGTTCGCTTGGCAAGCGAGCAGCCGGACCAGGTCATACACCGGTTCGGTTCCTGTTCCATGCTGAAGGATTGGTTGAAGCGCAACAACAAGAAGTTCTACAACTTCTACAAGGAAGGCCAGCATGTGAAATTCCCCGGCTATGAGGAAGCTCTTGAAGCTGAGGCCAATTTGGTGAGCGAGTTACTTGCTTCTCCTTCCGAGAAGGAGTATTTGGCCAGGGGGCGGTCCCACGATCAGTGGGCTGAGGCTTATGGCGGGCCACTGACCACGCCAAGAGGCAACATGTCGACGGCGGCTACCACCAATAGTCCAGCGATTACATCACCCCCTGCCAAGCAACAGAGGGTCGAGCACGACGAGGATGCGGACGAAGAGGCCGCGGGTTACATGCACTCCTGCGACTGATTCAACTCTTATAGCGAGGTGAACCATTTTGACCACGCAGATCCTCTGACAAGGACCGTTAACGGATGCCCGTTGGAAAACCAGAGAGCCTGCATACACACATTCACACCCAGCATCTGCCTGCATTGAACTCTGTCTCACTTCATTAGACATCTGGTGTCAAGTTTTGAGATCTTTAGACTTTAGATCCATCATGCCGACGACGATCAAGCGTCCAGCGGCTGCCCTTCCGCCCGCCAGAGCTGTGTATAAAACACATCTCACACGATGCTTTTGCTCTTCGAACTCCGTCCTGAAGCCAGGTCACGAGATCAATGCCATCCTCTACGGCATGAGCGGAATGGAACGCATTATCGTGAAGAGCTTCCGCTGTTCCAGCTTCGGGTGCAGGAAAACGTACGGGCCAAATTTTGTTTGGGATCTCTCTCACAAGTACAACACTGCCACCCCCAAGGACATTGAAGAGATCGGGGCTTACTTTGTGGGGACGAAGATTGGCTTTACGGCGGACTACTTGAAGTACCATAGCTTCTTGGAGTTCCGCGCCTCTGTGTCTGCTATGGCAATTAAGCACACATACCAGCACACTTTCAACACCGCTCATGGAGAGCAGTCAAACTGGTTTGCAAAGATGCACGCCTCCGCCATTATGTCGTGGATAGCCGTCCAGGAACTATATCCACTACAGCTACATCTCAGCATCAAGATCGGCGACGAGGTCACGCCTCATGCTCTCCAAGCATACCATGAACACCTCCATCTCAAGGTCTTTCCACCGAAGCACAAGAATACAGTCAAAGAGCTTGTCGCCGATGGGCATCAGAAAGTCCACATCAAATGCGCAAATTCGCGCAAGCATGCAGGCAAACCTCCCAGCCATGGTCGCATAAAGCCGTTTGGCCATGGTTGGTTCATGTTGGTCCATCCTCGTGATCTTCGCATTCTGGCTGTCAGATCCATGTCTGTTCCGGAGAACAATGAGATCCTCTATAAGTCGCTCCTCGAAATCTTGCCTTTGTACAAGCACCTGGATGGCCTAATCATGGACCGTGCTTGTGGCTTCTTGCCCACAGCCAAGGCTGACAAGAACCTGAAACAAATCAAATACTGGAGCATCGACGGCTTCCACGCCAAGGGCCACACCAAAGGATGTCCTTGCAACCCCATCTACAAGAAGAGGTTGGCCAAAAGGTTCAAGGGGGTAAACTCCTCGGCGTGTGAACAAGTCTTTTCGTGGTTTAGAGGGTACGCACGACTTCTCAACGAGAGTTCCCCTCTGCGCCATAGTTTCAAGGTGTTGTACTTTGTGAAGTTGCATAATTGTGCAGTGGAGCAGAAGCAGTCCATGTACCTGAATCGCTATGTTCGCTCCGGTAAGAAAGCCAAGCGACCGTACTCATGTGGCAAGAAGACAGTCGCTAAAAAGCGACCTGCAGCAGCCATGAGCTAAGCTCAGAGGTACACGTGTGTGCATCAGGCAGAGCAGTCGGGCAAAATCAGCTTGAATGCATTACTGTCGGCACCACCACTAGTTTTGAACTTGTTCTGTTTGCACTTTGCATGTCAGCGCATCCAAGGTATGCTTCGTCATCCTCGCAACTTGGAGTGTACTATACTTATTGTAATGATATTTCCAATAAACATATCCCTAATCCCTTCAAAAGTGGGTTTTCAAAAACCCAGGCCCCACAGCAACCTGCTCTCTATACCAATGCCCTATAACAGTTGGCTTGTGGGGTGCACTAGAGGGTCGTTTAGGGGGTCTAGGTGCAGTTGTACCAATGCCCCGAAACTTAAGCACCTAATCATCATGTGCTGAAATCGTAAATGGATTTACCCGTTTACCATACGACAGTCACCTCTGAACCCCAAACCCTCATGACTGCTAGAAGCTTCGAAGTCTCGCATTCAGTTACCCCATTGTTCCACTTACCCACAACCACAAACGCAAATACAAAGCAAAAACGCAAACTCCTAAACCGAAAACCCAAAACCCTGAACCTACATCCTGAGTTTTCGCGGCTTAGGAGACTTCGTAAGTATGGTTATATGCCATAAGTACCATCATTGGAGTCATAGCCTACAAGTATATAAATGAAACTGCAATGACAACACTTATAGCCGTAGTTACGACAAGTCCCGTAATCATCTATGCAGGGTTGTCTAGATCACAAGTGGTTGAAACACTCCACACGCCCAAGGAAAATCAACAATGGTCGGGATACCTTCCCAAAACTTGTAGTTACCTTCTTTCGGCCAAATGAGTATCGAGATTGGACATTGAAGCACATGTCTGTCGTTGATATGTGCCTGCTTTTCACTCCCAACGGCTTTGTTCTACAAGGTCAAATAACAGTGGCGAACAAAACGCCGAACTCAAAACCGTACATCCTAAACCCTAAACCCTGCAATTCGTAAACTACTTGAAAAGAAGCCTTCGAGCATCTGCTCAGGACAACGCCGTTTCCTGGAACTGCAACCGTATCTGAACATGTGTCACACCCACAACTCTTAGTACAAGCAGAGAGCCCTAGCTTCTAACCATTTACCTTAAGGTGGAGGGCGTGTAGGGTTCAAGGCGTTGTAAAGATTTTGAGCTTTAGTCTTTTACTTAGGCTTCGGGTGTAATTCGAAACACCACAAAGCCTGTAAATACTTTAATCTTTTACTTAGGGTTCGAGTGTAATTCGAAACACCACAAAGCCTATCAATACTAAGCGCTGCAACCAGAAAAAATCGCAACCCTAAGCCCGGGAGCCCTGGTTTGGCTTCGAAGATTCTGCGGTTTGGGTTCCCTACTACACAGGACCCTCATTATAAAGATAATGCAAACTACCACGATGCACCGTTCTAGCTATTGAGGCCCCTAGACCCTAAACCCTTATAGCCGCCCCTTTAGAACCCCGTAGTCCTGGAGCCCTTTATAAAAGAAACTCTATACACAAACCAAATTGTGGAGGTTTACATGCCCAAGCCAAGGCACGCTGCCTCGTTGACCTCCACGCCTGTCTTGGCAGGGCCATGAACCTGGTACATGGGCCATATGGGTGGTTGTCAATGTCAGGGTCCTTTTTTGGGTCCTTATTATACGGCACCTGATATTTAGGGTACCCAAAAAAGGGCCGTCATTTTGACAACCACCCATATGGCTAATATAGCTGCTTTGGTCTGGGTAATCACTCGGGCTACATCGGGGTTGGGTTTCGGGGCTTTGAGTTGGGGCCCGAATTCAGGTTCCTAGAGGCTCCAGCCCTAAACCCCGAAACTCGAAGGTGGTGTCAACTGAGAGGAAGATGTTGTACTCAGGGCTTGGGCCACGCCAATGCATTGACTCCCAAACCCCTTGGTATAGGGCTCAGGGCTTGAATCATACTGCCCTAAAACCAAAGCCCTACAACATGAGGTATGTTTCGGAGTTTCTCAGTACAAGGGTTTTGGAGTCTTTGAGAACCTGTCCTCAGGCTTACAATAGGCCTTTAGCGCCTCATACGAGCTTATAGGGTTCGAGGGATTTTGAGGCTTAAGCCGTTAGGTTTATAAGGCTTTAGACTTTAAGACTTTAAGGTTCAAGGCTTCAGAGATTATTCTCGGGGTTTAAGGCTTGAAGCTTCAGGATTTCAGGCTTTCGGGGTTGAGGCTTGCGGGTTCAAGGCTTTGCGGTTTCCGTTGCTCGGCACCCTCTACTTGTGAACGGACTTCCGACAGCCCGTAAACAAGGCATAGCGATGTTTCCACTGAAGATCGTCGTACGAATCGTAAGTATGGCAGATACGAAAAACACGAGTATTCCCAAACCAAAGAGCCTACCCCCCCAACCCTACCTGGACCCTGAAAACCCTACCGGAAGTCATGCGGAAACCTAAGAAGGTAGGGTGATTTGGGTTTCAAGGTAAACCGCAAACTCTACTGAAGGCCGAGGTGCGAATTCAAGGTCGGCTGATGGAAAACATGCCGGGCATTGAAGTGCAAACCTCGGTAGCTAAGGTTGTCAGGGACTGGGGGTGTAGGTTTGCAGTTAATACCAGGTTCCAGTGACGTTTAGTGTAGTGGTTAAACAGTTGATGAACTTCGGGTTTGTTGTGCAAGAATGTTTGGGGACGAAGTTAGGGATTTGAGGAAGGGCACTGGGAGGCAAAACGGCTTCTTGGGACTTAACCACCCTGTTATGCACACCCTGCCCGGGGGTCTACTGTTTCTGGCAGCCTTTTCTGCCGGCCTGCAGGTATGCTAGCTGACGTGCAACTCCACACTCCATCAGTCCTAAGCTAAACTGTACTATAGGGAAGAACTTGGGGGTAAGGGTTTCAGGTTTCCGAGGGGATTCCTAAGGTTGCGCGAAACTCTGACCCCTCAATTCTCGAGGGTAATACCCTACCCTGTCTCGGGGAAGCTATGCCTAGCATCGCCTACGTGATATAGGGTGGTCTGTCACCATCCACCCTTCCAAAAAAGTATCCGCTAACCGAAAGAGCCCTAAAGTATCCGCTAACCGAAAGAGCCCTCGGTACCAACTCTGCGCGATCAAGCCAACCCTTTATTTTGAGTACCCTTTAACACTCCGTTATAGACTAACCCTGAAAGGAGCCGTAAAAGCATAAACCAACCCAAACCCGGAACCCAACCTCGAAAGTCCTTCAAGGAACCCTGAAACGAAGCCACGAAGTCCTTGAAGGATGCCTGACAAGAACCTTAAAAGCAGTGGGTCCTTCTTATGGGTAATTGGCCCCCAAACCGTATTCTAATTATAAAGGCCCCTATACTAAGCTTTCTGTGCAAGCAGCCATCGAAGGCCCCATGATCCTCAGTGGCCACGTCGCTAAGGGCTTGTACGGGTTTAGGGTTTGGTCAGGGTTTAGGGCTTCGGGCGGAGAGGGTGGAGAGGGTTGAGGGGGTATGGGCCTGGCGCTTGGGGGGGTCAGGATAATAGGCACATCATCTAAGAAGTTTCGATATCAGCACCGTAGTCGCCACATCAGCACGAAAATTGATATGAGTCCATGAATGCATACGAACAAGTTTACAAAATGTCCCCAAAGGCGTATTAAGTCTGAAAGGCTTAGGTTTCATAGTTTTTGTGCTCAGGGTACGATATACCTAAAGGCTCCGTTACAAAAAATGTAGTTCCTTTTGGGGATTACACCCAAAAGGAACTACAATGGAGCCTCTAGGTACTCATTAAACTTTTTGAACTGAAGCGCCGGACGGAGCTGTCATGACCTGAAGTGTTTCACGTCTCGACCGATATTCAATGATGTACAAGATACTTACGGAAGACTTCGGCACTGCAGGACCGGTTGGGCAGACTCCAAACAGCCTCCAAGTCACGGAGAGAGACAGACAGAGAGAGAGAGAGAGAGACAGAGACAGAGACAGAGACAGAGACAGAGACAGAGACAGAGACAGAGACAGACAGACAGACACAGACAGACAGATAGACAGACAGGGAGGGAGGGAGGGAGGGAGGGGGAGAGAAAGCGAGAGAGTGAGGGAGAGTCAGAGACAGAGTGGGAGAGAGACAGAGTAACGAGACTATTGACGGATTGAGCAACAAGTAGGTTATAAGTAAGATAACCTCATGCCATGTGGCGTGTTTACAACTCTTCCCAACATAGACGCAATTACAACCTAGTGACTAAGTCCCTTCATCCCTCACTTAGGCAGCAAGCCTCCTCGGGATATATGTTAATAAGGCAACTATCTATATAGTTATGAGCTATGATCCCTATAGTTACTGTAGCTCCGATATGCTCAATTAAGGTACATGTAAGTCTTACCTTCTAAGTCCCATACGACCCTCCAAGTAGACCCTGTTTTAGGCCAGCGGCTGCCAGCACTGCCAAGTCAACTGCCCGGTCGCCGATGGCAGTGGCACATCGTGGGCCGTGGGAGGCGCAGGAGAAGACCTTGGGGGGTGAAAAGTGGCGCTGTTGAAGGGCTAAATTCGGGTGTAGTATGGTTTAGGGTTTGTTTAGGGTTTAGGTTGTTCCAGGAACCCCCCCCAAAAGTTAAATTCGGGTGTAGGATTTCGGAGCTCGGTAGGGTGTAGGGCTTGTTAAGTTTAGGTTGTTCCAGGTGTCCCCAAAGGGGCCCTTCAACAGAGCCCTTCTGGCCCTTAATTTGTTAATAGTGGGTATTTGGGGTATATTAGACGGTAGTTGGGGGGTCGAGGTTGACAGTAGTTGGGGGGTCGAGGTTGAAGGGCTCATTTCTGGGTTCCAGGTTTCGGAGCTTAGGGTTAGGACTTCGGGCTTAGGGTTTAACATATCGGGTTTTGGGTATCGGGGATTATGACTTCGAACTTCGGGCTTCGGGTATCGGGTTTCAGGTTCCGAACGCCGACGTAACAGCAAATCCTGCCAGCTGATGTCAGCAATGCTTCTGAGGCTACTATTTGCTTAAGAAACCCCCAAAAAATAAAAATATTAATCCCTATGAAAACCCCATAAGGAA